TCCAAAAATCCTCATACCAACTCTTCAAAGTTTATTCACTTAGGTAAATTGGAACATAATGGCAAAGAAAAGAACTTCAGAATAAACACTGTAGGTCAGATGGGACAAACATTTACCAACCTTTTGCTGCTACACATATTCTCTAAAATACTATTTTTTTTTTTGAAGTGTGCTATCTAGTAGAGAAGCTACCAGAGCATAACAAAATAAACCACTAGTCCAGGAGGACTGCACTTCAAATTCTAACCACACAGAATTAATAGAGGTCTGTTGATAAACAGATTAAGACTAATTTGTTTAATTATTTTAATAGAATAATTATAATATTATAATTGTTATAATAGTATATATCAATACATAATATTATATTATAATATTAATATTATAATTATTGTAATATTTTTAAATAATCTTGAGTAGACAAACTGAATTACTGGATACATTACAGAATGTAATGAACTGTATTTTTTGCCACAGTTAATGGTTCTAAATTGACAAAGGATGCTGGTACATGTATTCTACATCAGAACATGCACAGCTTTGTCCATTACCAAAAGTAATAACAGCCAGACATATCGCAGAATCGATCTAACAGTTTGTTCACCCACTGGCATTTGAGAGTATCTCCAGACACAATTTCACTCTTACAAGTTATTATTCAAAAAAGGCCTTACTGATTTTGTCCCTTAATTTCTCTAAACTTTAAAATTTCTCAAGCTTTTTTTTTCATTTCTTCTTGTCTTACTTTCATCAGTGCATAGAAAAAAGAGTACACCAATCCAGGATTTCAGAAAAGGAATGTTGTGAAGGTATGCTAACTATTTAAAGAGGAAAAAGCAAGTAAGATATGCAGGTGATGTCTATATGATTTCCTCTCTAATTTTGGTAGCTAAAGATTATAAAAGGAACAGATGTTTCTTAATGATATCAGAGGAGTCTGGCAATATGTTCATAATCATAGATAATTATGGTTTTGAAACTAATCTGTGAGTCAATAATGGTTTTACATTCAGATTATTAAGGTAGGCATAAAGTGAGAAGTATTGAGTACAATTAGAAACTCAAGTTGTAATTAAAATTATGTCAGTCAAAATTTTCTAAACGGTTTAATTTTGAGTGTTAGTGATGTTCAAAGCTCAGACCAATAGTAGCTAGCAAACATTTTAAAAGCATCCTATACAGCTGGTATACTACACCCATACAGGTGCTCTTAACTAAAGTAAAAAATTCTCCAAATTAATAAAATTATTTGCATGCACATTTTGAAAATGTTACGAAAAGTGCATATTTTTCAAGTCTCAGGTGGAGCACTTTTTGTATCTTTGAAATGTATTCTTTAAGTTGCTGGAACTATTAGGCAAAGTTACACTACTGTATCATTGCTCAGTATCAACACAACAACTGCTTTAGTCAGCCTAAATTCAGAAATTTTTCTGATTTTGCTGGTGTTTTTTTAGAAAAATATTACACATTGTTTCTCTATACTGAAATAAAATTTTTAATTATCAAAAAAAATGTACTGTAGTTCAACTATTACTAAGCTTAGGGGCTGATCTGAAATGTTACCACTTGACTGAAATATTTTTGTGGCTCTTTATTTCCTGTGTGCCAGTGTTTTTTCTGTGAAAAGGAATTGAGATCCCTTTAAGGTTCGGTAAATAGTTGAAATGGGTCAACCTTCTGGTACTTCAGAAGTAACATTTTTTCAGAATAATGTTGTCAGAAACTATTTCAACTTTAAAGTTTATAATGTTATTTATTAAAAGCACATTAGTGCGTACAAAGTCAAACCACAGGCTGGGAAGAAAATTCTTTAAATTGCTTAAATGTAACACAATTTCTGATGTTTCCAAATCATCACAAAAATTATCTATTTTATCTTCTACTACATATTTGGAAATAAAACATTCTTTTGTCTGAAGGAGTTAACACTGAAAAAGAAAGGCAAGGAAGATCAAATGGGACTTCAAACCAGCAATTAAAAGTTAGCAAGGTTTGATTGGTAATTGCCTTGTTATTTCTTTCATATTATAGAAGTGTTATAAAACCAATTTCATTTTTATTTTGCCCTGGTGATAATCATTTTCACATACAAAAAAATCTTGGAAGCATATGGAAGTTTGCCAACACACATTAAAACTGTAAAATGTTAACATAGTGTTTTACATAAAAGCAGTGTTGCTTTTCTCAAACAGAGTACACAAAGATCTGTTACCTGTTAAGTAAAACAAGAAAAAGAATTTCACAGATCAGAAAGAGATGGGACTAGTGTCAGAACAAAGGGTGTTTGAGTATTGGCTTTTATTCTGGTGTGATTGACTTAGAGGCTGAAAACAGAAGCAACAGATGGGAAAAACAAACAGATCAAAAATGTATCAGGAGAAAAAAAAACTACTACAGAATAATAAAAACATACTTACTAAAATAAAAATAGGAAGCAGATGTATTTTACAGCAGTTTTTTTATAAATTAGTTAAAATCAAATTTCATAGGTATTTATAATGTAATAGAAGACAAAGAACGCTTCTTTATACTAATATATTGATCCTGCTGAACTCAAAAAGCATTTGACTTGAATTCTGCTGCGATATCCTCCCCTCTTAAAAATACAATCTAATGAAATTATTATTAATAAAAATTAGATACTGAACTACTGACTTCAACAGAAGTTGCAAGGCACGACAGAGACATCAGCATTTCACTTGGTAACAATGAACTTGCCCTCTGAATTCAGAGGACAACATTGCTTCTGAAAACATCAGAACTCTTAAGAAACCACAGAAAACTTTTTTGTCCTTTTACTGTATGCAGGGGCTGAAATATGTAGAGTGTAAGGAATATTGTTAGGAACCCATCCCAATAACTTGAGGAAAATTTACCTATCTCAGAAGAACATATGCAGAGCACAAAACATTTAGATATTGCATGTGAACTGCAGTTACTCACTGACAAGACAAATATGCTTATGCTGAAACATTAATTTAGTCTTGTTTCATCTGAACCAACCAGTATTTTAAGTAGAATTTTAAGACTTTATATGCTGTAAGTAAAATAAAAATATATTTCTGAAACTTTGCAATTGCCTGAATAAACAACACATGAAAACAAATAAATTCAAAGAATATGAAAAGAGAACACCACAAAAAAAACCCCAATAATAAACTCAACTCAAAATAGTATTATGCAATGAAGTATATCTGTAGATACATATATGTTTCCAAGACTATTCTGTGCACAATTAGTCTTCCAGACCACTGAAATCTTCCAAGCTGAATTGTCAGTTTAGGCAGAGACAAACATATCTTGCAGGAAGTTCAGTAGGTTAAATATTTCCTCAAGTGATGTTACAGATAGAATCCCAACAAATTTTGTGCAGCTCAGCACCAAGAGCACTGCCTAGCTGGAGAAAATGGGTATCTCCCTTCAAGTAGAGTTTAATGCGCTCCTTTGGTTGAAGGTGTGGAGAACACCTCACAATCCTTTGCAAATTGTTTCCACGGTTAGTTCACTAAATTAACAGCTAATGGAGAAGATGGGCACTCCCATCCAGCTCATGACTTTGTTCCTACTTTTACTTTTTTATGTTGCTCACATACATACTGTGATGACCGCCTGACAACAAAATAGGGTGGGGTGTGTGAGAAAGACTGTCAAACATCACATACAACTGACATCAATCATAAAAACCCACAAAGAATGGCTCATTTCAGAATCCTTCAGTATTCACAAATAATTTATTCCTGTAATCTGATCTGAGTTGTCACAGTCTTTTTCATCATTTGTATTAAGTCATCAGACAGAAAAGCGTTTTGAACAATACATCATGGATACACTCACTAGATCTAGAGAAGATTCACCTTTACATTGTATTACCCCTGAAAAGAAAATTATAAATCACAAATGGGTTGAAAATAAAGGCAATTTTTTGGTTCAATTATTTCTCCCATGCACACTCTTCAAATGAAGGACCATAGGTCATTCAGATGATGTAAATTATCATATCATTATAAACAATCTAATTGTCCTGACACAACTCCAATCAACCATCAGCTTTAGCTTGCCTTTAGAAGCTCGTGTTTATCCTCCATGTGAGAGAAGTCAAGAAAATTGAGATGAATGAGTACTGTGATACATAAATAACTGAATTAAGAACGGCTAACTCAGGTGGTATGATTACACACTGCTTCCTAAGGTAATAAAAAAGATACAGGTTGGTTTGTCACTTAATTCCCTCCTCTCTTTGCAACATTTAATTGGCGATCTTTCTCCTATCCTCCCTTTGTTTCCCCTTGTAAGTATCTCATATCCTATCTCTATAAAAATCTAAAATATCAAGAGAACAAGCTTTGCCACCATTGGCAATTTTGCTTTTCATTGCTTGCTTAGCAATTTTTAATGAAGAGGTTTGGATGTTCTGTCTCTTAACAGACTTTATATTAGGAAAAAAAAAAGGCGTGAAATCCACATTTGAGTTTTGGAAGTCTTAATATCCTCGAAAAAAGTTTGCTTCTTTAACTTGGATATTCTATTTCACACAGTGCTTAGCCACTGGCACAGAGTAAGGTGCAGTGAAAATATAAATTGTATGCAAAAACCACCCACAACAGCTGTTTTGCAAGGCAACCTATTAAAGGCATGATTAATTTGTGAACAAATTGGAATCACACCCAGATTCAGATTTACTGAATGGAAAGGGAGAAGCTAAATTGGTGGTACTGATGTTTTATGGAAGGATAATAACCAGCCATAGGCAAGGACATGAACTTGGTGAGAAACTGTGCAGCCCATCCCATCCAAAGTGCAGCAGTCAGTTCATCTCAGGGTTCCAAAAATAGTAGCTAATACATGTACTTTCTGAACTTCAATCCCTTTCCTAAAAATATATTTGTCATTTCAAATACTAAAATACTTAGCAAACAATCCATCTGGATGTGGTTTACCAAAAATGAATTTGTGATAATTATAAGAATGTCCACATTTTGAAAACAATTGGCACTTACCTTTATTCCTTGAGCTTTCATGATTCTTTTCCTGCTGCAATTAAGAGCAGAAAAATGTATTAATTTCAGAATCAGTTATCACAAAAATCATAAAGTCATAGACATACATGACCCAAGTGAGACACTGTAGTTCCTCCTCCATCCTGCCCCAAAGTAAAATCGACTACACTTTGCCTGATTCCTAAAGAGTCCTATATATCCCATTTGCCAACTCCCCTAGCATTTTTCAGGGTTTTTTTCTTCCCACAATGACTGGAATTAAGTGCTGGAACACATTACCCAATGGGGCCATGCAGTCTCTGTCACTTGACCTCTGTCTTGGGAGATGCTCATAATTCAACTGCACAAGCCCCTGTAAAACTGGGACTTGTCCCATGATACAATTTTGAAGCTTGAAAACTTACTCAAGGCACTTATCTGCTCCCAAAATTTCAAACTTCGATTTTACACAATATTTGCTCAAAAAGATGCTCTTTATTTTGGGTATTGCAATTCTTCAAATATTTGCTGCTATATAAATTTATGCCAGTAAAAATAGCATTAGCAATAGGCTAAATGCAACACACTTCTAAATTTCATTCCATTAAAAGATAGCTTTTCTTTTACAATTTTAACAAGAAAAGCAAGTTACATAGGTTTTTTTTTTCTTTTGCTGCAATTTTTAATTGGCATTTTAAAGCATTTTAGCTTTCAATAACAAAGAGAGTGTACTGGTTACCCTTTAGTACTAATTACACTGTTTTCTTTTACCTATATAGACCAAGGATTTGTTATTACTGTGCTCATAACAGGTTCATTTAGTCTTAAAAGCATCCAGACTGTACACAGAAATCTACAGAAAATGTTAATACTTCCACACCAATACATATGTCCTTGAACAGCGTATCTGTTAATATTTTTTAACTCACAGGGACATGGAAATGTTTAGTTAATATTAACTTTAGCATAAGGCCATCTTATCCTCAAACAAGCAAAACATATTGTTCCAACATTTTTGATTTTGTGAAATAATAAATAATATGCCTAGTGAAGCAATATTTTTGTTGTTCCCTGCAACCCAATTTTACAAATCTAAGTTAATGATTCTTTTTTCATTTCTTTTCAAACAAATAAATTAAAACTTGTATGTATTTGGAAATTATGTTTTCAAATTTCTCCATGACTACAGTAGAAACACTAGTGAGATATTAAAAAAAAAAAAGAAAAAAAGGAAAACATTCATTATCAGTAAAATATGATGTACTAGATACATTTTTAGTATTTCCTAGACCCAGTGAATGGTATTTCCTGAAATACTGGATATAATGTGCTGAATTCACCAGAATCAATTTTCATGCTATTCATGCTATACTAAATTTCAAGCAATAGTTTTAGTATTACTGAATTTCTTTCGCATTTCATTTTACACTACACGCAGCATTTGGTTTAGAGGATCTGCCTAATACTTTCTTCTAGTCTTCTAAAGGAAAACTTGCTTGTAATTTTTATTTTATATATCTTTAGAGGTCACGCAATGAAACTTAGTCTTTAATAGGCCAGTGTAAACTCAGAGGAATCTTGTTCATGATAAGTCTGTGCTTATTAAAAAAATCAACCAATCACCAAGATTTAGAGTCAAGATGTAGTCAAGTTGTGCTGGCATTTGAGATAGTGCAATTTTATGCAATTTTACTGTTCAGTTCCACAAAACTCACTAGTCTTTTCTCCTTTTAGTTTGAAATCAGAAAAATGGAATTTTTTGCCAACAAAGCTGCAATAGACTCTAAAGACTTAATCCAATAATTGATTACTAGATCAGAGCAGCCTTGCAGGAAAGCAAAATTAAAAGTCAAATATTGATATCAAAGGAGAAGAGGAACACTAATTAGGATGAGAATTACTTTTCAGGAAGAGAATGCAACAAACTTGGCAAAGATCAGAGAAACAAAAGGATTTAGATGAAATTTTAATATTTAAAAAAAAACAAAACAGACTGCGGGGGTTTTTTAATGAACTGTGTTAAGATTTCAAGGAAAGGAGGCAATAACTGAAAATATCTTTTTAGACCTTTTTTTTTTCTACTATATTTTCTTTAATTTCAGCTGAAGATTATGGAGCAAATTTTCATGGCTTAGCTTTCTCAAAACCACTCAAATTTTAATTTTAAGCTGCCATTCAAACTAGAAAGAATCTAACAGATCTATGACCAGACTCAGTGTGATATTCCTTGGGCCAAGATGCTTGTAGCAGCAAAGAGCACCCACATAGGAAAAAAAGTCTATGCCTCAAGTTATTTCAAAATTAACCAGTGATAAGACTGGAGGTAACATCTCTGAACTCAGAAAATAGTTTTCTGCCTAGAGAAATCTTGCTAGATAAGACTTTTCAACAGAAAACACAGAGTTAAAAAAACATAGACAAGTTTATACTGAGGGTGAATTAAATACACATTCCTCCTTAATATTAAAAGATAAATGATGTGAAATATTTTCTGTAGAAAATCAGTAAGAAGAAATGAATTATGCTAGTGACCCAACGTTAAAAGCACCCGTAACTCAGAAAAATTAATTTCAGATCCTCAGGGAAATAGGAACTGCTCATCCACATGGGAAACACAAAAACAAATAAACAAATTTTTCAGGGTCCTGGAATGTGAGAGAGGTAACTGAACTATTGAAACTTTCAGTATGGTTCATAATGAATAAATTGTTCATAATGACATTTATTTCCACCAGCATTTGTGCAGTGGGCTAGCATTTTAATGTTTGCTGGCCTGAAAACAACAAAATTCTACCCACGTATTATTAGAAAATATATAAATGTGCAAGCATCAGGGTATTAAGACACACTTCTGTATAAACACATATGTGGAAGACTTTATAAACCTACTATTACACATATTTCTGTTATTTTTCTCCTGTACGCATTATGAGATATAAACAAAATATTTCTACCCAACATGTTAACAATCAAAAACTACATATAAATAAATTTTAAAACAAATTTTATACACACACACACAAATATATATATATATTCATTCATGTAATCATCCTGGATCTATATGTCCAGAATTATTACATGAACTACAATACCATACTGGTACCTATTGATATGAGCCATCTGTAAACAGAACCAACCGTTTTGCATTCTAGGATATTTTTATCAGCTTCAATATAGCAAAATACTTTTCAATTTAACACTCTCCAAACAAATTATTCAGACAGGTTGAATGACATTTTATGGCTTTGTGTTGGATTACAGTGTATCAACCTGATGAAATGTATCAATGCAGAACATATTAGAACTGCAAAGAAACCTTTCCTGTGTGCCCAACAGGCTGAATTTAAAGTAAACTTTTTGTGCAGACAATGTCAGATTTTCTGTTATGTTTGTGAACTGAAAAAGATCACAGATGGTTGACCATAAAAATAACTATTGTTACAAATTGTAAGTCATAAAGTATTTCCAATATAAATCAAAAGAGGCTCTGCAAAGAAACTTATTTAAATATACACAAATGTTTTTTCCAAGGTATAAAAGCTCCTTTTCTAGTATTATTTTTCTTTTTTGTCTTAATACACAAAAACTATCAACATCTCTTAAAACGTTTTGATATCATCATTAGTCCGAAATGTCACGTTCGCTAAGTAAGGTTGACATAGTACCAAATCTTATTAAGAAGGGGTTCACATTAGCAGTAAGGGGTGTAGAGAAGGATGATCGAAGGGACTCTTTTTACCAAGAAGGTACAAAGCTATTTATGAGAATGACCAGAGCTCATCTGTAAAGGCAGATGACATTCTAGGACTAAGAAAATACACAAACCACTGAAGAAAAAGTAAAGCTCATTTCTTAGCCTCATTTAAATATATATCATGCAAATTTTGTTTGGTTTTTTCTCTATTTGAAAGAAAATTACTATTTATAAACCTTGGATGTTGCACACAGAAGCATTTTGACTGCCACTTAATTCTATGGTTTTTAAAAGACAAACCACATAACTGTATTTCATACAGAACTCTACTTATGGCTCTGCCTGAATTATCTGCAGAGGATCTGGGTATGTGTCTGCCAGAGTGGGCTACTGATAAAGAAGAGGAGCCTTATTTTGTCTTTGGAAAACTCAGACAAAGCCTCCTTTGCTATGCTAGCTCTATTTAAAAAGTAGCTCATGAATTAATCAAATTCCTAAAATAAACAAAGTACTAATTAGTATAAAGCATATGGTAGATTGTCCTTGACATGTGACAAACATTTAAATAATTTAATAAGCATACACCATTAATTACAGAAGCTGATGAAAAGGAGTGTAAAGTTATTTGCTTTCCTAACATTTTAAAAAGAAAAGTTACCATCAGACACATAACAAAATACAGTTAAAATGCAGAAAATTAGTTTTGTGTTCATCGCCTTTATGGCTAATTGTGCAGTAGGGGTACTATACAGATAATGACAACAATAATAATAATAGAATAATTTTTATTAAAGAAAATATTCCATTAAGAGAGGTACCAGAATAGCTCTTATTGTTGAACCATGTACAAGCCATAGTAGCTGAATTAACAATATATTCACTAAAATTAATACAATAACATTATTTACAAAAATTCTGAATTAGAAATGTACAGAAACCTTTTATTCATGGGTGAAATAGCAGCATGGTCACAGCCAGGGAGTAGAAGCACACATATTGCACAAAGCAATCTGGTAAACTATTCTCAGACCCAATTTGATCAATGACATTAGGCTGAACATTTGTGTTTCAAAGAAGTTTTATAGAATCAGACTTCAGCAGACTCATAGCAACAGCAGCACAATTGCAATTTAAACTAGAAACGCATGCAAAGCAGAAGCAATGACATTTACATTTGTAAAGCTGTTCTGTTAAGCAGCAGTAAGCAAGGCCTTGCTTACTATGGTAAGGAAGAAAGAATGCGCAAAAAGTGAGCCATTTTCCTCTTGCTCTTGTCAGAATGCTATTTACTGCAGAAAGCTTTTTAGTTTAATGTTTGCAGCAGGATTCTTGAACTGGCATTCTGCATACACAGCCCA